CGAATTTTTTTGGAACTTTAGTTTCGGACTCGAATATGTACGTGATATTGGACCTTACAGTGGAAAAAACGACTGTAATAACAAACATAATACCATACGATCGAGAAAAAAAAAACGGCGTCAAGGAGGGTTGACAATCGATGGTAATCTTGACGCGGTCAAGCCCTAGACGCAGTGATGTCAACTCGTTGGAAATCTCCCGATTCGTTGGAAATTTTGAGATCCAGATGGAAGAGGGAAAGTTTAACTCAAAACACCATAAAAACATCATCATCATCATTTTCAGCTTATTCAACCATTTCCAATGATGTCGTACCCGCTCACATACTCTCTTTGTAGTTTGGTCCATTGTTGGCTATGCAGGCCCAAATTATCACTGCTAATTTCCTAATATCATTGTCCCATCACAGCTTCAGTGTTCTGCTAGGTCTCTTAGTTCCTCGTGGGTACCATGCTGTATTTTTTTCCCATGGTGACTCCCAACATGATTCTTTCCATGGCTCTTTGTGTAAAAAATAAAATTAATAGATGTCGTTAAAAGAGTGGCAAGTCTGAAGTGGCAATGGATAGGACATGTGGCAAGACAGGATCCAGACCGATGGCCCCAAAAAGCAATCCTATGGAGACCTAAAGGAACAACAAGAAGTGTGGGCCGACCAAAAAAGAGATGGGTCGATGACGTCAGGGCAGTGGCGGGAAGACAATGGATAAGATTGGCTAGAGACCGCAAAGCATGAAAAAACCTAGAAGAGGCCTATATCCAACACTGGATGCTGTAATTTTTGTTTGGCCATCTGTTGTCTACCCTTCTTGCCAGTTGTCCTGGCCATTGCCACTTGAAAGATTTGCTTCTGTGGATGACATCTATTACCTGGGTCTTTTGTCGTATCCACTCTATTCTTTTACGGTCTTTCTTGGTTATTCCCAGCATATTTCGTTCCAAGGATTTGCTTCTGTGGATGACATATATTACCTGGGTATTTTGTCGTATCCACTCTATTCTTTTACGGTCTTTCTTGGTTATTCCCAGCATATTTCGTTCCATTGAGCGTTGTGCGACCTGCAGTTTCCTTATAGTGTCCGTTTTAAGTCTCCAGATTTCGCACGCATAGGTCATGACTGGTAGTACACATTGGTCGAATGTTTTCTTCTTTAGATAGAGTAGTATAAATCTCTCACTCGGTAAAAATATAGTTTTGCCCAATGGTTCTCATAGAGCACTCTCCATCAGAGTTGTTAAACTGCACGTAGTAATTAATAAACTACATTTACTACATGTCACAAGTAGTTTCTTAAATGTCGAGTAGTAAATGTGTAGTTTATGTAACTAATGTAGTTTTTGGTTTGGTTAAATAACAGTGAAAACATAACCTAAAAACTTTGTTTGCTGATCAATTTAAAGAAATAAAAAAATCTATATTTTGTAAATTTGTTCCTTATTATGTGATATTTTTGATACTTAGTAGTTAAAAATGCTTGGAAAACGTCGATGTCTCCATACCTTGCTCCATACCTTCTGGGATGAGGGGAAATATGAAGTTGTGCCTTTAGATGTAAAAAATCATATATTCTCCTGGAGAATGTCTATGGAGAATTTCTCCATAAGAATTTATAGTTTATTTTGTGTTCAATGTTACTTTGTATTTCGTAGAAAATACACTTTTGTTGAAAAAAAATTGTCTTTTTTTCTGATGTTTTTAACTTATAACAAATATAATATAACTTCATACTGCCATGATAAGAATTTGGCTTGATTTTTGTTTAAAGTCTAAATTGTTTATGTTTTACTATATTTTTGTAGGTAGTTTTTAACGTAGTTTTTGTGTAGTTTTTGAAGGTAGTTTTTAAAATTTTAAAACGTAGTTAATACAAAAAACTACGCGTAGTTTTTGGCGTAGTTTTTTGCTTCATAAACTATTTAACAACCCTGCTCTCCATTAGTTTCTTCCGGACCACCAGGTTAGCTCTAGCACAACACAGCTCGTAAACAGCGGCTATAGTCTGCCCAACTAGAAAATCCATGACAATGACAGTTGTGTCTGTCATTTTAATTCACAGGTAATTTGTATTTTCCATCAATTTTTGGAAGTTGTCTGTTAAAAATTTAATGTATAAAAACAATTTTTTTATCGAACATTTTTATCTGAATATCCAACGACCAAAATCTAGGCATATTTCCAAAATTACCTGTAATTAACAAACAACTAAACTATTTACAACTTTGGTAATGATTTGCTGTTAATCCTCCCAATAAAAATACGTTATAAAAGTTGTTTATCTCGCAGTCGTAAATATCATTTTATGTAGTTAAATAGTGTGGAAAATCCAAAGCAAAATTGACGCCAATTCTATTTTTTCAATGCAGCAATAACACTAGAGAGTCGCTAATCTATGGCCGGAGGATATAGGAACAGCACGGGACCTTATCTTTATAATTCGTTTAAAAAATTACGCGAAATAAATGATAAGTAATTATTGTAGCTCGGTTTTTATGTGTACAGGGTGGTCGAAATTGGTCTGTTTTAACAGAGAAAACCTATTTCCTGACTAGATAGAGCAAAACCGACTTAGATGTCACGGGCTCGATTTCTGAGAAACGTTTAATGGCCTAAACCAGACCAAGCTTTTTAATTCTCGAGGCACGAGAGTAACCAACTGGAATTTCTCGAGTTTCTCGAGTTCCTCGAGTATTTCGAGATACTTTGAAATTTTTAATAAAGTGAAAAAAACTGTATAAAACTGAAAAAATGTAATCGAGTTATTTTATTTAATAAAAACGGTATGTGTTAATACAAAACAAACAAGAACAAGACACTACATACCAAAAAAAATATATAAAAGAACTATTTTTTACTTTCAAGCTTTATGAAACTACCCGCATTTATGATTATATTTATCAATATAACTTATGTACAAATACAAATTTGTAATATTCCACAGGAATAAATAAAACAACATAGGTAAATAAAAAAAACTATTTTATTAACAATAACACCTACCAAATTTTATACCTAAAAGGTTGATTAATTAACTTTAATCTTAATTTTTTTAAATCAGTACCTTTTGACATTATTTTTCTGCAGTACTAAAATCCATTATTTACCTATCGTGTGATGTCGATATTTTACAGCTACTCCAGTTTTTAGTATGTGTTTAGTTTGATCCTTCTACCATATACGAGATGGCACTTATCTACGACGAGATGGTATACAAACTTTATCGATGGCAACTTCATTGGTGTATAAGACTTTCTGCCTGGGCAGCGAGTATTTAACAAAAGTTGACACAAAATTATAACCTATAATTTGGCAAGACTTTTGACAAGCGTCAAAAATGACAAAAATCTAAAGGCGAGTTCATACGCATCGGCGTCCGTTTATCGTTCATCGTTCCGTCAAACCAATAAAATTGAAATACGATCTGTCATTTTTTAAATAAACCAATAAAACTGGTTAAAAACAACAAGACACGACGCATGACGGATTTATATTTAAACCCATCCATAGATAACTTAAAAATTATTAGAAACTTTTTTTAGTAAAATAAATAGATTGGTATGGGACGTCATCTGCTTTTCTTCTGTCATCGTCTGTCGAAATCTTACCTGAGAAAAAAAACAGAGTATAGACGCTGCACAACCAGGAGAACAAGCAATAATAGAAGCCCTAGCGAAACAAGGTATTGATAGGGCTTATGTAAAAACTCTTGCCAATGTACAGGGCAGAAAACTAAGATCCATACCAAAGTTATATTTTTTCTTATGGAACACCCGGAATTTTATTTCATTTTTGGTTTCTTGGTCCCCAAAAAAGGCATTTATTATGAGGGTTAAATATGTTTAAAATCTTCGGTTTTTGAGATATTTAAAAATATTTAAATATGCATGCTACAAAAAAAATAATTATTAACACCCTGTACATTACTTTTCAGAATTAATTTTTGTGCTGAGTTTAAAGGTAAAGAAATAAACTTTACTAAAAAATGATATTGCTTTCTTAAAATTATACAGGGGTACCAAAAATTGCTGGTCTATTTTAAATATTTATTTTACATAAAAACTTCGTTATTTGAAATACGACACCCTGTATTTATTTATCTATCGTCTGGATATTGAAGAATTTAACAAAAAATATCTTTATTTTCTTTTATCAAGAGTCGCCAAAAAAAATATTGTTAAAAATGTTTTGGAAACAATTATATAGGAAGAGATTATATGTAAATAAATCAACAAATAAAAATGCTTACCAAGATGCTTTCTTGTCTAGATTTTATTCAAAAATTATTAGGAGAACATTATAAACTAGAACTAAATTATTTTACAAGTTTAAGGAATATTGAAATACTTATACATATATTATTATTGAAGGAATCATATCCTTTATTTTTTTTCTACAAGTGGCATAATACAGGATGTTTTAGATAACAGCCCTTAACTAAAAAATGCATAAGGCTTAGGATACAATTTATTAAAAAATAGTTTTAACAATATACTCGTATTTAATCAATAATTAGACCTACCTATAGAAAAAAATGTTTCATAAATATACATAAGGCTATGTAAAATTTGTTTGGTAGGGTAAAGATATTTGTTTTGTTATATTTTTTTTATTTTTATTTTGAAAAATTACCCAAAAACAACTTTTGTTTTATCAATATTTTTCAGATTTTTTCATTAATTTTACTTTTGTCACTAATAATAAAAAGACCATTTGATTCAAATACTTTTGGAAGCACTGTATATCATCTGGGGCTGACTGAATTTCTATGTACTATACCGGGTGTTTTTCAAAAGTGCCTCACCCCTATAGCTTTTTAATTTTTTCAGATAAAAAAACGATATTTTTTATGTTAGTATATATGACATAAATCAGGATTGATTGACATATTCAATTGTTTTTGCTCACTTCCTGTTTCACCGGAAATGACTACAATTTTTTATTTTTAAATGAAAATTCGGTAGTTTTCTTTACTTTATTTGATAGAAAATGGCATTCTGAATGGAATGATATTTCAAATCAACTTTTGACATTTTTGCTTAAACAAAATAGTATTCTAAATTTCAATCTAGACTGTCATGACTGCGTTCATAACAAAAGTTTATTTGACTCGAAATAGCAAGTATGTAGTACCAAACTAACACAGCCATGGCACTCAATACAATTTTTTTAAGCAAAAATGTCAAAAGTTGACATAGTATGATATGTCATTCTATTCGGAATGCCATTTTCTATCAAATAAAGTAAAAAGTACCGAGGGTACCATTTTAAAATCAAACGTACTCATTTCCGGTGAAACAAAAAGTGGCCAAAAAATGGAATATACGTCAATCAAATTTATAGGGGTGACCGATTTTTGAATAACACCCTATAAATAGACGTGACTGGCATGCGTGAATAAACTTAAACAAATTAAAAGCAAAGCCAATTAAGCAAAGAAATAATATATTTTCTCTTATAATGTGTGTATCAAAAATTTCATAATCAATAGAATTATAAAAAAATTATTATCAATATAAAAATACGTTTTTTTATTATTTTTACTTTGAAAAATGACAATAAACAACTTTTTTTCAGAATTTTCCCTAATTTTACCTATCATAGTAAAAAAATCACATTTATTTCAAATTCTTTTGCGAACACTGTACATATACAGGGTGTTTTAAAAATGCACATAAAAATATAAAAAAATCTTTAACTTTTTTTGGAAAAAAACGTTTTTTGTAGTCCTTAAAAGTGTCAACTCACAAAAATGGTAGGTTTTCGATCACAAACAATTGAATGATATTCTTCTTTGATACAATTCGTTGGATCACTAAAGTCAAGAGTCGAGTAATATTTCATGTATACCATTGTGTACTGCACTTGCTCGCAGCGGATTTCGTTTTTCTTTTTACTGTCTGCTGCATGTCTTCTCAAAAACCAGATTTTTATTTTTCGTGGGGTCAAGTCCATATACGCTGTCAGTCTGTATCTCTGGCGAAAATAGAGATGGGCCGAAGGGTTATGGACGTACTCCCTTTCTAGTTCTAGTCGCTGATTGGTGGTAGTGTACGATGGTCGATGTATATCACGACCCATGTTGACTGTAACAAAAAGCAAGATTATTTGATGTTTCATGAAATAAACTAGGGATGGGCCATAATAGATTTTACCTATCGATAAGTTATCGATATATTTTAGTTATCGATTTAACGATAATTATCGATATATCAATGACTATCGAATTACCGATAGTTATCGATAGTTTTTCCTCCATATATCGATAGTTTTTGAATTTTACTCAAAACATTACTCAAAAAAATCATCTTTAATACTAAGTATAAGCACGGCATATAAATCACACGGCAGGCCAACTCGCTTTGGCGGGAACGCTACGCGCATACCCTTGCGCACGCCGCCATTATGGGTGCCAGTGACAGAAATTAACCAGTGTCGTAGTCAGTCGTAGTCTTTGTCATCGACAACAGTTACCGCAGCTTTGAGTCAGTAGCGTGCGGCTTAATTTATTTTATTCTTTTCTTGAGTGATATATTTTTGTTTATTGTGTGATATATTTGGTTTTTGTAGTTTAGTAGTACAATGGAAGTCCGAAATTCTTTTAGTTTTAATACTCAGTCATTGTCTACGGCATTCAAAGTAATTTTTATTATTAGGTATCCTGCAAAATGACAAACAAGATTAATTTCTAAATTACTGTTTTTCTGATTATCCGTATCTATTTTTAATTTTTATGGATAGTTCATGACAATTCAGAGAGAAAAGAACAGAGGTCTCGTTGTTTTTTATAATAATGTTACGGATTCCGACGTAAACAATAAGGTCTGCCGTTTTTAATAAGATGTTTGCCAAATCATTTTGGCAATTTTCAGTACCCGTGTGTAATATTCGGACACAAAGTTTTTTAAATGTTCTTCTAAACTGGATGAATTTATCCTGGATGGGAATAATGACAGGTTTACAAGATATTGGAATTAGAAGAATTACAGGAATTACAAGATAAAGTTGTACCAGATTTTTATGAGTGCAACTGTACACTCAAATCGCTTGTCGCTAAGCTTTTATATAATATAATATTGTGTAATGACATAATAAAAGTTTTAAAGAAAAAGTTTATTTTTTCTTTTTAATGTATTTAAATAAAAGCTTGTTTTTAAAAAGTGTTTTTTCTTAAATTTATTTTTTACCTTTTAAGTTATGCTGGTTTCTCAGTGCCATACACTTAAACTCAATTCTTTTTCTTAAATAACTATCTATGGGCATCTTAATAATATGTGTATCGATTTTCATAAAAAAGGAGAACTTAAAAAAACGATAGCTGTCAAATTTGACAGTTCAAATGTGAGACAAATAAAATGAAAACCGACTATGGGGTAGGGAGCATCCAAAATATCGATTTTTATCAAAATCGGACAACTTTGAGATTTTTTTGACAGCTGTCAAATTTGATTTTTTCTTTCCTTTTAACCCATGGCCATCCTATATATATATATAGATTTTTATCAAAATCGGACAACATTGAACTTTTTTTGACAGCTGTTATATTTGACAGCTCAATTTTTTTTTCTTTCATTTTAGCCCATGGCATTTTAGCCCATTTAGCTATTAGGAGAATCAGATGCACAATTTAATTGTCTATCGAATTGTATTATACCATTTACCTATTTCATCAAGTTTTCGTAAAAAAATGCATTTTCTTATAATTTAGACCTCATTTATCAATATAACCATGGAATATTGATAAATGATTTTATATTATAAAATATTTTAGATGCCTTGAGAAAGATTTGTATAAAAAATCGAAACTTCGGCAAATAAATGATTTAAAAACTTCCAGAATCATATAATTTTTAATAAAGAAACCTATAACCAAGAAAATCACAACTGATATATTAATTAATTATACCACCACTATTTCCGCCCAAATATTAATTAATTACATACTTAATTGTGTTAGTTAATAAATTATTCTAAATAAATGTGGATTTGAATCAGAAATCAATAAGATAATAAGTTATGAAAATGAACGTCTCTGTTGTTATAAATAAGCATTCGTAAGAAAATAAAATAAAATTTTTAAGGTGTTACTTTTTACCACACTGTCTAATTAATACTCATACAAAATTCAGTTTTTTAGTATTTGGAGTAAGTATCATTAAGTAGTGTTATTAATCAACGCAAACAGTCAATTAATGTAGCTTGAATACTAAAATCATATTAATTAGGTTCTCTTTAACAAATATTTAAACATTTTTTTAACTATATTGACAATATTAGTATCTGTACTCTTTAAAAATAATCTAAAATGTCAATATTCCATGGGTATATTGATAAATGAGGTCTAAGTTATAAGAAAATGCATTTTATACAAAAACTTGTAGAGATGGGTAGAAAGTGGTATAATACAATTTGATAGACCATTAAATTGTGCATCGGATTCTCAAAAAATATACAAGGTGTTCTATTTAAATTATACAAGTTATTGGCGTTTAAAGCTAGAAATTATTTAAAATAAATTTTTAGAAACTCTGTATGAGGTAGTATTATTTTTATTATTGCAACACAATAACTGACCAATAAATAAACTTCAGTAAATATTTAATATTAAACATTTTGATACTCTTGGAGAAATGAAGCCTTAATATTTTTACTGCAATTGCACAAAATTCAAAATATTTCAAAAACGGTAAGGTTTAAGTGTGACAAACCTTAATCAAATTTACCTTTATTTTAATCGTAGAAACTAAAAATGTAATAATATACAGGGTGTTCCATTTAAAAAAAGACAACTTTAATATTTTTTAATTGTTTGGGACACTCTGTATCTTGTAAAAATATTTTTAAATTGTACCTCTAATAGTCCTTCAACAAACCCAAAACTTACAATTTGCAGAAATCTAATCGTTTAGTTACATTACTCCGTGTCGTATGTGGTGAACAACCCTGTATATTAGTATAGATGTACTACCTATCTTGCCATATTATCAAGAAATTATGTTTTTTAACTAATAATTTTTAAAAAAATAGACATATATAATATAGGCTAATATATTAGAGACAAAACTGAACCAAACACATTCATACACTGACGTTTTTAACGGTACGGTCAAGTCCGTTCGGTTAAAACTGGGGAAAATAACTGTAAGTATAGGGGGGACTTTACACTAATCTATGCATAACATTTACCTGTCAGATATGTACTGTTGATATTTCCTTGTCGCCAAAAGTATTCTGTCCCACCGATACTTTAATATTGCACTTGTGTTGATACCGGTACACACTTTATTCTAAACACTGTATAATACGAACTGTCAACTTTCTAACAGGAACTATGAACTGGACTAAAATGAACTATCTAACAGTTACTGTAACACTGAATCTCTCAACAGATACTGCCTTTTTGCAGATCTTTTAGTGTCTTAAATAAATTCTACCACCAAAGATAGTAGGCGTGTCTTCCAATTTAATATTCTTAAAATGACTGTGCAATAGTAGGTGACAATGCTTCTTGAAAAAGGGTCACTATAAAGTCGACACTGAATTATTTGAATAGGCCCTTAAGTGACCAAATAAAAACTATATTACTTTACGATAGATATTTTCCACCCACCCATTGTTAATAATAAAAGATAATATACTTTTTGAATATATTGTTGGGTCGTTTATGGCCTTATAAGGGTAAATGGGATTTTTTATGGTAGTAAATTACAGTCCCAGATCATGCTCTAAAGCAGGGTTGGAAAAATTTATGATTTTTTTAATTTAAATAAGATTTTTTTGATTTTAATTCAAAACAATATTTAAATCGGATTTCCAAATGACTAGGACTTATTTCCAATTAAAGTCGCTATCCTAGAGGGCTAAATCTTTATAACTCTACCTGATACTGATAACACCTTTGAATAAGAAGACTAAGGAAGGAGCATAATGCTATCCATGTATTCATGCATGGTGGGCGGAAAAGCCACCATAAAAGCTCTCTAGGGTGGGGATCCTTGACAGTTCTGTTTGACGATTCATTTGACACATTTGAATTTGATTTGAAATTTTGTGGATTTGTCAGTCTTTACGGAGCTTATTTTATGTTATTTATTATTTATTCTACTACTGATAGTTGTATAAAGGTAGTAAATCTAGATGGAAATTGTGGCAGAACTTAAATTAACAGTGACACTATCGCGATTTATCGAAAAAGACTCTAAAATGATTGGTTGTGTAGCGTGCGGTAGATCTCGGCAAAAATTGAGTGAAATAGTGGAACAACTTTTCGCTAGTAAGTGACTATATAATATACATACGTGTAGTAAACGGATCATTTATGAAATTCACTTAAATTAACTAAATTATATATTTTTCTTGCATTTTAGCTTTTATTTATTACTTGTCAAAGATTAGATGTCAAAGAATTTAGATACGTTAATTCAACTTACCTGCTTCAGTAGCGTATCGGATGTTTGTGTTAATAAATAACTTATTATAACTTATCTATTTTTATTAGAATTATATATTTTTATAACAATTTTAATAACTACCAACATTTATTCACAACGTAAAATAAAACAACAAATTATTGAGTCTACCCTACGTCTACCCTACATCATAGTTTTACATTTTTTAAATAAAATTAGAACGACACTGATAAACCGGAATTTAAGTCGGCCATATTTGAGGCCCATCGCGGTGTACCTAAGATTTTTGATATGATCCTTCCTTAGTCTTCTTATTCAAAGGATAACACTAACAATTCTACGACGCGTGTCATTTTTTCCACATCTGTCACCAATATATTCTGCAAAGAAAGTCGCTCGCTTCAGATCAAAATGATTTTTTTTCAAACATCTCAAAGATATTAACTTTTGTCATTTTAACGCCTAAGCATAAAAGTGAAGCACTGTTACGCCTAAGCACAAAAGTACAAAAATATATTATCAAACTGATATTAAGTGTCAAATTCAACGAGTGTACACATTGTTACTCGATTACTGTTCATATTATTTGCAATGTTTGAAATTGATAAAAAAAAATTAAAAATGGTATGTTCTATTCCGAGTAAAAATGTACTTTTTGTGCCTCCCTGTAACGTCGGAATAGCTTTACGATGGTCCTTCAAAGGTACAGCATCGTCAAAAAAAGTACTTACTGATCAAAATGTCGGTAGGAATTTGGAAACAGAACCGTTTCAAAAAAATATAAAATAACATATTTTCTGACAACGATTCGGGAATGAAGATATAGTCTCTATATCAGAAGAACCTAGTTCTCCACTAGAATGATATGCATTCTTCACTTATACATAAATTTTAAAATAAGTCCCTGCGTTTAGAGATCTAATGGATTCACATGAAATTACTTGAAAAATCGGTCCAACATTTAAATTGAATAGATAGTTTTATACAGGGTTGTTCACCACATACGACACGGAGTACTGTAGCTAAACGATTAGATTTTTACAAATTGTAAGTTTTGGGTTCGTTGAAGGACTATTAGAGCTACAATTTAAAAATATTTTTACATGATACAGAGTGTCCCAAATAAATAAAAGATATCAAAGTTGTATTTTTTTAAATGGAACACCCTGTATATTATTACATTTTTAGTTTCTACGACTAAAATAAAGGTAAATTTGATAAAGGTTTATTACGCTTAAACCTTACCGTTCTTGAAATATTTTCAATTTTGTGAAATTGCAGTCAAAATTTTAAGGCTTCATTTCTCCAAGGGTATCAAAGTTTTTAATACTAAATATTTACTGAAGTTTACTTATTGATCAGTTATTATGTTGGAATAATAAAAATTATACTACCTTATACAGAGTGTCTAAAATTTTTATTTTAAATAATTACTAGCTTTAAACGGTAATAACTTGTTTAATTTAAATGGAACACCCTGTATATTTTATGAGAATCAGATGCACAATTTAGTTGTCTCTTAAATTGTATTATACCATTTTTTACCTATAGCTTCAAGTTTCCGTAGAAAATGCATTTTCTTGTAATTTTAAATTCATTTATCAATATACCCATGGAATACTGACATTTTAGATTATTTTCAAAGATGTACCAAATTTTTAAAGAGTACAGATACTAATATTGTCGATATAGTTTGTTTATATCATTAAAAAATAAAAAAAACTGTTTAAATATTTGTTACAGAGGACCAATTAATATGATTCCAGTATTCAAACTACATGAATTGACTGTTTGCGTTGATTAATAATAATTGTTCCAAAAACTAAAAAAATTGAATTTTTTATGTGTATTAGACAGTGTGGTAAAAAGTAACACCTTAAAAATGATATTTCATTTTTTGACAAATGCTTAGTTATAACAACAGAGACATTCATTTTTATAACTTATTATTATATTGATTTCTGATTTAAATCCATATTTATTTAGAATAATTTATTCACGAACATAATTAAGTATGTAATTAATTAGTATTTGGGCGGACATAATGGTGGTATATTTAATTAATGGTATACTCTTTTATGAAGATTTAAATAGTTTTCTTTTTGCATACAAATGGGCTAGTAATATTATTATTTTGTTAAAAACGATAATATTACTAGCCTGTATATTTTGTACATTTGTTGCTTTAAAAAGAATCTAAAATGTCAATATTCCATAGGTATATTGATAAATGAGGTCTAAATTATAAGAAAATGCATTTTCTACGAAAACTTGAAGGGATAGGTAAAAAGTGGTGTAATACAGTTTGATAGACAATTAAATTATGCATCTAATTTTCCGAATATATACAGGGCGTTCCATTTAAATTAAACAAGTTATTGCCGTTTAAAACTAGTAATTATTTAAAATAAAATTTTAGACACTCTGTATAAGGTAGTATTCACAATAATTGCAGCACAATAACTGATCAATAAAAAACTTCAGTAAAATGTTAAATATTAAAACTTGGATACCACTGAAAAAAATAAACCTGCAATATTCACAAAATGAAAATATTTCAAAAACGGTAAGGTTTAAGTGTGATAGACCTTAATAAAATTTACCTTTATTTCAATCGTAGAGTTTAAAAATAGAATAATATACAGGGTGTTCCATTTAAAAAATTACAACTATAGCATTTTTTATTTATTTGGGACACTCTGTATCTTCTAAAATTATTTCTAAATTGTTGCTCTAATAGTCCTTCAACGAACCCAAAACTTAAAATTTATAAAAATCTAATCGTTTAGCTACAATACTCCGTGTCGTATGTGGTGAACAACCCTGTATAGTTTTATAACATTTGCAATTATTTTTCGATTTATTATCTGTTATAGAAATTTTTTTTCTAGTTTTCTAGGACACAGTTTTATAACTTTTACAGTAATTTTTTGATTTATTATAAAGTTTCAATAATTTTTTTTAAATTTAAATCACATGATTAAAATTAAAAAAATCACTTGATTTAAATCATGATTTAAATCATTTGATTTAAATCATGTCAACCCTGTTCTGAAGTGATACTAATTGTCAATACACCCCTATTTCTTACTATATATTTCTTATTATTTTAGACAAAAAAAGAGATTTAGTATGTTAGTATGTGACATAAATAACGATTGATTGACGTATTCAATTATTCATATTTATATTTATTTCTGTTACCTCCTGTTTCACAGAAAATTACTACGACTCTTGATTTTAAAATTGTGCCCTCGGTATTTTTTAGTTTGTTTGATAGAAAATTATATTCTGAATAGAATGTCAACTTTTGACATTTTTATTTAAAAAAGAGTATCTTAAATTAAATTAAAAATTAGTGATTTAATCATAATTAAAATTCTATTTTTTTAAGCGAAAATATCAGTTGATATATGATATGTCATTCTATTCAGAATGGCATTTTCTATCAAATAAAGTAAAAAAACATCTAGTGTACCATTAAAAAATTAAAAATTGTCCTGATTTCTGGTGAAACAGACGAAGTGACCGAAATTAATTACTGAATTAGCCAATCAACTGGAGTTAAAAAAAAAATATTTAACCCGAAATAGATACCTATCTAATACATTTTTTAAAAAAGACAGTATCTATAACAGACATTTCTTCTGTATTAAAGATTTAAATATTAATTTAAACATTTACCTTTTTTAGTTAGCAGCCAAAAAACAAGTTTATAACTTTCTTCCTTGTTTATGGAGAAATCAAAACACTAAATTTGTAAAACAGTTAGACGATTAAAATGATAAAAAACGCACAAACTTAAATGTAATTATTGTTAAACAAATAACAACACTGGAAGTTAATAGCACGTTAATAATATATATGTTGTATTTTGTATTAATAGGCTTCAACAACTGTTCCGACAATTCAAATCAAAATATAGATACTATAGTAAATGCTTACTAAATACTGATCAGTGTTTCTTACTAAATAATATGAGATTTACTGGATAGAACATATTTACAGTTTACTTCTTTTTATTGAAATTAAAGAATGTTTCACTCTATTTTTTATTATTTGTCGAAATAAATATACAGGATGACAATCTTCAAAAGGAACAGTATTTAATTTCGCCAAATTTTCATACTATCATCGGTAGAGGTAATATTAAATACTGTTCGTTTTCAAATTGTCACCCTGTATGTAAAATAATAATAGGATGCTTTCTGACTAAGAGATGCTAACGACACATTGATGTTTCAACAGTGTAAACGACAAAAACGGTCCGTCATTTCCAAGCCAAGTGGACGCCGTTTTTTTTTTGATAATATGGTATTATAGGTATAGTGTGACCAACGGATCTGTAGCTACGGGGTATCGGCAGGGGAATGCAGTTGTAAACAAAACACGCCCAATTTCATTCATAAAATAGGCATGGGCGTACGGTGTTATATGAAAATAATGTGTATCATAAATATAATACTCAGATTAATATTTTTTTTCAAAAAACTTTATGCTGTTTGAATCGTTACTGTTGAGTTAGCAGATAAACACTAAAAGCTTTTATTAAAGCTCCCTTAAATATTTTGAATCATTTTATTATTGTGTTGTTAATATAATAGAAGAAATAATTACAGCTGGGGTTGGAACCTTTGGTGTTACACAGCAAAATAAAACACTAAATCAGTACAATACACCAAAACACTTTTAATTTTACACTGGACGCATGTTTCGCTAACCATGTCTGCCATCAGCAGATGATCAAGACTGCGTCTTGAGGTATATTTATTTATATATCTGTACTAACTATATTTTTTCTATAATACATAATTTTAGACATAACTATTTCCAGCAAAAAAATCTTGAAAATAGTTAACTTTGGAAGCGCAAACATATAATTTTACTCACCAGTAGATCCAATATTGCCTATTACACCAGATATTGTATCGCTCCGCCAGCAGTTTTTAAAGGTTAGGTCATTGTCTACCCATATGTTTCATCCAAATAGATAATACTTGGCTATATTTTCGAATTTCGCGTATATATTTATATCTCTCTCTGCAATATAATGGGTCGCTCCATTAATATTTATCTGTTATTTTGACATTTACGCCAAAAAAATTCATTTGATTTTAATAACCCCTTAAGCGTTTCCCTGCAAAAGGAAAATTCGATTCTTCCTGCAATTTTTGCAAAAGCTTTCTAATTGTGGGGACGAGTTTGAATTCGAGATAAAATCTATTTATCAAATTCCTGACCACTTCGAAAAAGTCGTCGAGCTTTTCGACAGCAGTCTCACGTGGTCATTTCTTTCCAGAGCTGGATATCATTTTATCGGGGTTAGTTTTCAGCCTTTTTTCATCTTTTGTGTGAATTTTTTTATAGCCGATAACTCCGGTATAAAAAAATATCCGCTCAAGTTTACGTTTAAGCGGCAACTAAAGCGAACTCTCTGTAGCTTCCATCGCAAACCCTATTATGAACACAAGGAAATAAACCAAATGAGATTTCATCCACGTTATTATTAACTTACCTATATAAATTAGCTATTATATCTCTTGTCTGACTATGTAGCGTCTTACCCTTAACAAATTTATTCATTTTAAAACACAAATATACGATCAAACTTGATATTAATAATTAAAAACTACGAACGAAAAACATTATAACAAGATAACAAAATAATAAAACACAACTTAACTATCAAATATACGAAAAATATAGGAATAAAGTTTAGGATAACCGGTATAAAATAATGAAATAAAGTAATAATGATCAAAAAAATTACACCGCCACTGGATATTTCAATAGTATTCAATATTCCTACTCTTTTCAGAAGAGACCGTGAAGTTGGGGATAAAGCAAGCGAATAGGAAAGGCGTAAAAGCCATGGCAACCGCGTGGTAACAAATCCTGTGACGTACTCTGACCAATCATGTTCGACGAATAGGCGGCCATGCGCGGCGATGCCGGTTTGCTAATGATATCGTTGAAAAATCTTCAACTTTCATAATAAGCAGATTATACAGAATGAAAGAAATAAGTTATTAAATAAAACATATCGAACAATATGAACTACGTTAAAATTCCTTAATAATATACGTCAGAATATATGCTAAACACATTATATATAATAAAAATATATTAGATTTATAGTTCATGTCTGGCAATTTTGCAATTTTATAGATAAACGTGGCAATATCGATTTTTTTTCTCGCATTCCTTCCGTAGCTTCAGATCCGCTGGTCAAACAGTACTGTTTGTATAAAAAAGATTAACCTATACCAACTAATTTATAAATGGCTATAAATTCCAGAAATGCACGTAACAACAAATATAATCTGTTTCATTTATTATTTTAAGTTGGTATTTTAGGAATTTTATAATGTATCGATATTAACAATAATTAATATAATAATTACTTAGGAATTTAATTTTGCCTACTGTAAACATTGTTAGACAATGCGTGGATGCGTGAAACTACTTAACTCAGACCAATAATATTAATAGATAAACCTTACTCTACAACACAAATATACCAAAGATATACAAATTAGATGTAAACAGAAAATTGAAAGTTACCACTTATTTACCGTTTGATCGAAAAAAAAAACGGCGTCCAGTTGGCTTGGAAATGACGATCGATGACTTTCCCCATATAATTGTAGCCATCGCCGACGCGGTTTTTATTTCGACCATAGAAACACTTTTTACAGTTTCGGCAAAATAGCATCATTTAATGAAACTGAACATATCGAAATTTATTAAATCAAAATGTTTAAGTGATATGTTCAAAAGTCAATAACTCGGAAACTGTTGGTTTGGTTTGGTTTAGAATGGGCTCTTTTACAAAAAATTAAATACCCAATTCAAGGACAAAATCTGAAATAGAAGACTATTTTCAGTATATTTATCCAAAAAAAATAGTTCTACAACATTGTATAATTTTTTTATAGGCCTTCAAAATTGCTTTAATTTGAAATAATTTTAAAGCGCCAATTGATGACGTATGAAAAATACACCCAATCACATTGAAGAACCGTACTCGTGGGCCAGCCAACAACTGGCAACATTGCGATTTGATTTGACCAGAACTACCTCAACTCAAGGCCAATCAACATGATATGGGCAAGGCAAATATGGCGGCGAAGGCAGCGCATTATTAAATTGTTTATCTTTAATCTGAAAAGCCGGTAGAGGTTTCTCCTTCCGATTGCATACCATAAATAATTAATTATCTCTAGTTCGTTGTGCCTCTGCAACACGTTTGTTTAGTTCTTAGTGTTCAGTGCATGGTGTGATCAGAAAATTGTGATAAAATAACACACAGTGTAATAAAAATCCAAATAGACATTCCACATAGAGGACTTCAAACTTTTGTACTTGTCGTACTCCTCTATTATAAATTATTTTAAGGTAATAACTAGAAGTATTTATCAAGATATTACACCTAAATGAGTAAAAAGCCTTCGCCGCCAGTCTGCATAGTACTTCATAATGGTTACTTACAATAATCAAAAGATAGGTATTAAAGGGTTAACATTTTATTGTAGCATTCCTTTTACATGCTCTGTTCCAAATTATCACGGGAATTATAGAGGGACTCCCAAGGTTTCTGCTTTTATATTCCCCAAAAATGACGAGCTTTGTAAAAAATGGTTGACAGCTATTAAAAGAGATAATTTCACTCCTACTAGTAGTTCTCGGGTAAGAAGTGCATTAAATATGCCTCAAAAAGGTCAAAAGCCAAAGCCTCTGTTACCCTAGTGAGGATATACTTATGGCTACTGCTTACACTTGCCTCACTATAAGTAAAATATTGGAAGAAGAATCAAGCTTTTTACATCAAAAAGATCACAGAAAGGTATTGACAACATTCACATTTGAAAATATAAATGGCCTAGATGTAAGTCTTCTTTTAGGTCACAATTGCCCCTCACATACGTCAGAATTTATTATTAAATCCATCTTGTTCAGAATATCCAATATTTTATTCGTCTTTACCACAAAGACAATGCCCTATGTAAAGAGAAAGAGTAAAGAAAACTAAGCGTAAGCTTTACTTACGAACCCCCAAAAAGGTATTTAGTTTTTTGTTCTATATAAAATCTTGAAACACATATTATATTTTTTATTTATCCTCACCTAGTATAGTTTAAATTTATTCCCATTTGTGTAATGCTGCAAAACATTGACCCAAGCCAGTGTAGTTTATAATTCGAAGAGCATTTACCAAGGCTTTTACGCTTCCTATACTGTCCATAATAGTATATATTTATCAAACGTTCAGTAAATTCTAAACTATGGTAGGTAAGTGTTTGCAATTGAATATTTAGTTTATATTGCTTTTTCTGTTATATATTTCTGGTTTGTTCTTTTTCCGATGATTTTGAACACCCTATATATGCTACTTCAAGTTTGAATATTTTAACACTACCTATTTTCTGAGAAAGCAGACCTTTTTATAAAAATTAACTAACTGATGTTGTCATAAAAGTAATAATACAAAAAATTCCATACTTATGTGGAGAACTTTAGACTCCCTGTATATTAAAAAAGTAGTGAAATATTACCTAATCTAACCCGACATTTGTGTGAAAAATGTCTATTTGGAAATAAAACAGGTTTTAAAATACGCGCCAAATACAGCACTTCTATCTCCGCCATATTGGAAAAGGTTGAATGGCCTTGTGTGGAGGTGGTGGTGGGTCAGCATGGTGGACCGGCCGCGGCCGTGTTGCCGCTTTTCAACGTGCCAGGTTTGAGGTATTAAAAATAAAGTGCGGATTTTTATTCTGGGCTTTTTTGTTTTTATTTATTTTCTTAAGAACGACTTCAAATTTTTCGAAAGTGAGATAGCAGAAAATTCTAGAATTAATTGCTTTATTCAATTATGCTAATTCCAAAATATAGTGAACGAGCCCATTGTAGGAATAATTGCAATATGCAATAATATACAGGGGGGTTCTATTTAAAAAAATGAAACTTTTATGTGCCACGACTTTATGACCGAGTATACTTAAATGTGTATTACTCGCTAATCGATATTTAAAAATTCTATAACTTTTGTATTTAACTGTTTGCGATATATTCTATATTTTATCTAATAATTCCATATACCGTTTCCATATACACTACTGGCAAAGGAATATTAGCAATAGGAGGTTTTCAATGCGATAAAAAAAGATGGTAAGGCTGCAAAATACACTGCAGTGCAACAGAGACGGATAAAGTGTCTTTTCCCTACCATCGTATAGGGGAAGTGATCATAGAAGTGATACGACGAAGAGCCCCTGCGAGAGGGGGCGCCGGGCGGGTCTTTAAGACGCTTGTGTGGGGGCTACCGCCTACTAATAGAACAGAATCGAAAAAATAGAAACAGGACGGACAGTGTTGCCATTCAATTAAATCGAAATTATGTTGGCTTGTCAAAATCCTAAATCTTCTAATCCCATTATCTTGCCTACTTAATGAAATATTAAATAAAGTACGAAACAATTTTACGAATGTTTTCTCTAGGCACATAACTTCTTTCTAAAACGAAAAGTAACATGCAAAACTTTGATATCATTTCTAAAATAGCAAGTGCAATTCTATGAAATGGCAATACTGTACGATCTTCCTAGCAGTCGCCCCGACACAGTCGGTCGGCGGCGGCGCTTCACAAAGCCGCGGCTGTGACAAAGGAATTAGGCCGAAAAAAACTTTATAAGGAGTAGACGAACAGGGTTGCCGGGTTTGTTAGATTATAATTCCATACGAGAACAAAATTCTCGGTAGATCTTCAACAAAAATTAAAAGTACAGAAACGAAATAAAATATAATATTTAAGTCCAAAATTAGCATTCCTATGTGTCGTAATAATAGATCACTCAAATAAAATACAAATATAATAAATATAACAAGAATTAGAAATAGCTAGGTATATTATTTAATATTAAAAAAAATATTGAATTAAATAATATTAATATATTAATAAAAACATATAAAACTATAACAAGTAGGGATAGCAGTCACAAATTAGTGTAGCAGTCACTTTTTACCTTTGTACAAATTTTGATCAGTGATATCTAAAATTAATTTCATTTCAATGGGAAAGCTGTAGCAACTCTCACTCTTTTTTCATATTAATATATTTTTTTGACGGGAAAATCACTAAAATATTTGTCCGAATTTAGGTTGTTTCTTAACTTAAATTTTGTTTTTTGTTTACATTTTTTGGGGAAAATATGGGTTCAACTTTAGTAGATGAATGAAATAAAATCTTTTCAAAAGATATCAACTTCTTCGGGCATGTCGCCAATACCGCGCCTAATAAGGAGTAATAAGGAGTAATAAGGATTTTTAGGAATATCTCTGTAACTCTGCAACTAGACAGAACGATGACCTGTATGTGTGTTATTACTAAATAAAATTTAATGAAACAATAATAAAGTCAAATTATACAGATTCCAACACGGCAGTCGCTTAATTTTTAGTCAAATAAGTCAGCTTTTTATAAGTGCTTCTATTGTAAAAACTAAAGACGCAGTTGAATATATCGTTAGATTTTTCTTTAAATCGGTAGATCGGTAGCTTACAGACGAAACCGGTAGACCTGGCAACTCTGTGATGAACTGACGGGAGTCAGAATAGCGAGGTGCGGAGGCGCGGGAAGGGAAATAAAATAATGGCGATAAATAAAGGGCAGGGAGATGGGTATCATGAGTGGATGGGAGGTGGCGGAATTTCCAAAATTTGTTATCTTATTGGAGTTTGTCTAAGTAGACAGTCGTAGTGGAAGTGGAAACGGGGAAGTTGTTGTCCATCTCTGTTTAAGCATAGACTTTTTATAGGCGTTTCATTCCAATGCATGTAATTCCTATGCCTAGAGATCCATTGCCGGGCCTGTATAACAGCAACCTTATGGATGTATTATACAGGGTGAGTCTTAAATTAGTGCAAATATTTTTAGGACTGGTAGATCTCAATACAAGAAACATATTTTCTCTTTAACGTTTTTTAAATAAGTCCAAAATAACTAATTAATTAAATAAATGATTTTTTGGAAAAAATTTTGAGAGCCACCGGATTTTTTCTGCCAATCCATCCCTTTTAGTGCCGTAACCATAGAGTAAAGTTGTAACTATAGTAATATCCGTGGCTAACGTCATATTCAAGGCCTGACTGTTTTGACAGTTCTACTGAAGTGGTCGAGAATTAGTAGTCGTAAACAAACCTATTGTTTTCATTAGTTTCGCAACAAATCTGTGTTTTTTACGCGTTTCTATGCTAATAAAATTATACTAAATAATTTTGAGTATACTCTGAGTGAATAGTGAACTATCTAGATCCGATTCATAACATCGTACCCGCGAAAAAAAACATACTTTCGGTAAAAATTATAGTAACACCGGCGATGCGGGCTGTGTATCTGGGCTAGGGGAATAGTTGGGGAATAAGTTGGGGAATTATATAAAAACATAATTAATAGCGTTAGTGTTAGTGTACAGTGTTAAACCAACGTAAATGACGTGTATTTTTAGGTAAAACAGTTTTCGTTTCTTTATTTTTTCTTTGTGAAATAGAAAATGCCGCGACATTGTTCTGTGCCTGTGCCTTTATAGCAGCAATTATAATAAGTACTCAGGATCTGTCTACATTCTCTTTCCCAACAATATTAACTGTAACTAGGACACGTCCAAACCCTACAGAAGATGCTGTGCCTACAATTTTCCCAAATCAACCCTCTTATATGACTGTGCATGTTTCCAAACATCCCGATGAAAGAAAACAAGATTTGGGAATTCAGGATGAAATAAATATTGAAAATTGTTATTATTATTATGAAATATGTATTATTATTATGAAATGGCAATATATTTTAAAGAAATTAAATCAATTGTACATAAATATAATATAATTGTATATAAAAAAAATATTTTTTTATCTTTTTATTTACGATATATGGAGATGGTTACTTGATGAACATCGAAAGTTAATTCTACTGATGTCCACATTTTTTAAATATGTTAGGCAAATTTTTACAATTATTTTTAATTAAACTTTAAAATGTATTCTGCCCTTATCATATGCAATACATTTTCTTAACTTGTCGATAAAGTATAGTTTTCAAATTTTTTAATATTTGGAGACTTTATCACAAGGTATATTATTACTAGTTGCTAAATACGCGCTAACGCAATTTTAGGACATGCTTTTTATTATCTGGATTTTATTCTGTTCATCTTATGCTGTTTTTTATTTCATATTAATATTCGTGTTTAAGATCTCAATTTTAATGCTATTCAATTACTTTAACGCAATAAAAAGTTAATGTTATTTTTTAATACCTTTGTGTATAATATTTTTCATATTTATATCTGGCAAAACTATCAATAAATACTATTATTTATGCAAAAACTATATGCAGTACCATATGGCACAATACAAAAGCCCGACTATTGCGGTGACGTCACAAATCGATGTCTCTGGCCTGTATCTCATGTTGGTTATGTAATATCAGAGACTAAGAAATTATACCGTTGGAAAATTTGCGGTGAACAGGCAGTTCTAAAAAGTTTTCGAAAAATATACAGGGAAATTTAAAAGAAAATGCACGATTTTCAACATCTTTTTTTGCGAAAAAAAAAACTCATAGACGTGTTCTTGGAGTCGACATATACCACCCCTGAAAATATTTGCACTTATTTAAGACTCGCCCTGTATAGTGAACAGTAAAAGAAATAAAAATAAATAAAGACCATAAAAGTCCAAATTTTTTTGGTATCTATACTGAATCATTCTCTACGACATTCAAAAAAAAAGGTTTGTATTCTTATGAATTAGAAAAGAAAAACAAAATTGTTGACATTAGCTACCTACTTCAATTTTGTTGATCTATTGAAAAATAAGTAATTGTAATGCAATTATTGTATTTATACAACTTCTAGGTAAATCGAATTAATAACTTTAATCCTTTTCTGGATTAAATTTTTATCAATTTCCATCGAAAAGTCTATAAAAGTGCGATAGGCAAACGTTACATTTTAGTGGCGAAATTTCAACAAAACTCGAAACAAAGCGGTGTAGACTAATCCGAAAGCGTATGATCTGTTGAAAATTTGACATGGATTTGAAGATTCTTCTTTTGGGAGCAGTGCTTTTCGTATGTGCGAACTCAGGGCGTAAGTTTTTCAAGAATCACTGATTTTTTAGTTTAACATAGTTTTACAGTGACACGTATTACAACTGTAAAACTCATAGAGTTATTATATTACAGTTGAGGGTTGGAAACTTTGGTGTTACACAGCAAAATAAAATCACTAAATCACCACAATACACCAAAACACTTTTACTTTTACACTGGACGCGCGTTTCGCTAACCATGTTAGCATCATCAGCAGATGATTATAAACTAAGTTTATAATTAATTATAAGATTTAGTGTTTTTATTTTGTTATTATATTAGCCAAAATCATGGATATTTATTATGGCTGTAGCGGAATCATTTCTTCAAAAAAGTCTTTACGTATTTGGTATTGATGGTCTAGGGGCTGTGGAATATGTATACAATTTTGTTGACAATGCTTGTGATATCTGGCACCCGCACAAAACAAATCTTGATAAATAAGCTACTATTAGTGAAAAATTAATAAGTTTGTAAAAATCTAAAAATTTGAATTGAATTGGCTATAACTCTTTCTATTCCATTTAAAAAAAAACATATGTTTGTGTCATATGTCAATAATGACAGGCTTTAGAAAAAATCGGAGAACACAAACTCATTAAAGGATGAGATTATCTATACAACTTTCATCTGAAAACTTTTTGTCTAAAATAGATTATAATGGAATTAGGGACAATTTTTAAAATAGCCGAAATTTGTTTTTTTCGCAATATCTAGTAAGTCACGAACTTTTTCCAAAATCTGAAAGGCGCATATTTATGACCCCACAAAACTGCAATTCTTTCCCCATTTAACCGACACTTTTCCGAGATACTTATAGAGAACATCGTAGAAAACTCACCCTGTATAAAAGACATAATACACTTCAAATAAATCGTTTATTTGACACAATATAACAAATCGTTGATCTTTTTATTACTTACATATTGTCATTTATTAGTAATCAATTATTAAAAGATTATTTCAGCCACGTGATATTATACATATTATATTCCTTTATTATTTTTTACTAAATTTAATAAATTAATTTTAAACTAATATTTATCTACTTTCAGTAAGTAGTAGCCTTGTTTATATTAGTAGTAAGTAATATTCTTACTATACAGGGTGAGTTTTTAAAGAATTCCGTTTAGACCAAACCAAATAAAAAAAACCACTTTATTGTTACTTATATATTATTAAATCATTTTGTTATTAATATGTTATATATTAGAAAAACGTTTATTTAATTATTATTGACAACTAATGGAAGCATTGTTTTTTTAAAACAATGATTAATAAAATAAAGTTTCTAATCTTATAATTTTATGCAAATTGTATATTTTACATAAAATAAAATAATTAATTGCGTTATTGTTACTGATTTCTAACATTCAAATCGTGTTCCATAGTTTACAATGGCTAGCTTCGTATTGTTTGTTCTAAACAAACGAATTTTCATGTATTTTTCTAGTTTCTTGATTTTGTTGCAAACAATACAATTTCAAAGATATACTTAACAAATTTGAAATCGAAAGATCGGTAGAATTTGAAGATATTGAATCAAAAATATTAATCACTACTATAAAACAGTATTATTATGCTTAGTCTGCCCAAAAAGATAAGAAGAAGATATCTGTTACATCACTATTTCTTAATATATCATAAAAGCACAGAATATCTAGCTACGCAACAGAAAAATACTCGAAATGAAAGACCTAAAATTGCACAAATAAAATACTAGATGGCGCGACAATATCATAATCAGAATATAATTGGAAATTTTCAACTTTCGGTTTTGAATCGACGTAGATCGACGGCACGTCGACGGCCTTAAAGCTCGGCTAAATATGCACAGTTGCCAGATTCAAACAGACTTTAATTGGCATCCCATTCTTTTTCTGGTGTATAATAATTTCTTTCTATTCTTCGTTTCTTGTCAGATACACTTATATTAATTATTCGTTTGGCTTTTAAAATAGTTTTAATTGTAAGTATATTATTAGAAAACATATGCTCTAAAAATACATTTTTAATATACACTACTTTATTATGTTAACTAAGAAAATAACTTTAATTACCTTTAAAATTAATAATATACAGGGCGATTTATAGTGATATTTATTAATGCTGTAACGTTAGTAATGAAATATACGTTTAATTAATAATGGAAATAATTTATTAAAATGCAGTACAAAAAATGTTAATTGACTAAAAAAATACTATAATAACAAATGTTTTCTGTTTGCTACGTTATTTATATAGAGCTAGGTAGATTTTCAAAAGTGACACAGATACAATTAATAATATATTAGTTCGGCATAAAAGTTGCTGTCACGACATCGTACAATAAATTAAAATTCGTAAAATAAATTAATATTATTAATTAAACAAATCTTTATAAAGAAACACAAGTATATCAAATTTGGGCCCAATCGAACGCCAGGAAATGGTATCGTAATATGGTACTACATTATGGTACCCCTTGATATGCTTCATGGTACCATAATATTGCAATGTCATCAAAAATACGCAAGTATAATCAAATATGAGCCCAATCGAACGTCAGGAAGTGGTATCGTAATATGGTACTATATTAAGGTGCCACTTTATATATGCATCATAGTAGATGCATCATAGTACCATCATATTACAATGTCACCGAAGATACTTACTATACCAAGTTAAGCCCAATCGAACGCCAGGAAATGGTATCGTATACGCGGTATATGGTACTATTATGGTACCTCTTCATATGCTTCATGGTACCATAATATTGCAATGTCATCAAAAATATGCAAGTATATATCAAATATGAGCCCAAATGAACGTCAGAAAGTGGTATCATAATATGGTACTATAGAAGGTACCGATTTGTATGCTCCATGGTGCCATCATATTACCATGTTACCGAAAATACGTAGTATACAAAGTTTAAGCTCAATCGAACGCCAGGAAATGGTATCGTAATATGGTACTACATTATGGTACCCCTTGATATGCCATAATATTGTAATGTCATCAAAAATACGCAAGTATAATCAAATATGAGCCCAATTGAACGTCAGGAAGTGGTATCGTAATATGGTACTATATTAAGGTACCACTTTATATGCATCATAGTACCATCATATTACAATGTCACCGAAGATACTTACTATACCAAGTATAAGTCCAATCGCACGCCAGGAAATGGTATCGTATATGGTACTATTATGGTACCTCTTGATATGCTTCATGGTACCATAATATTACAATGTCACTGAAGATACGTAATATACCAAGTTTCAGCCCATTCGAACGTCATGTATCGTAATATGGTACTATATTACGGTATCACTTGATATGCTTCATGGTACCATAATATTGCAATGTCAAGAAAAATACGCAAGTATATATCAAATACCGTATGATACCGAAAAAAACGGCGTCCAGTTGGGTGGGAAAAGACGATTGATGACATTTATTATTTTCATAAATTTACACATAAAATGACAGCGATTTTCATTTCATAGCCATCGCTAACGCCGTTTTTTCCCGATCATACGGTATGAACACAATCGAACGTCAAGAAGTGGTGTCATAATAGTAGAACAATACTTATTATATTGTCGCCGAATTACAATCAAAATTCAGGATTCAATTAGAATCAAACGTCAGGAAGTGATTTTAATTCAGCTCGTAAGATTTAACTCCAACTAATATGGCAAGTTAAATGGGTACTTAAACGTTTGAAAAAAGAGCTCTAATCTATTTTAATATGTTTAAATGATGTAGCAAATTTGAAGGTAGGCTTTATCGGGAAGTATTACAATATAAATTACACAATGGCAACACTGCATAAAATTCTTTTAAATTTCGTTTGTAGAAAACTGTTTTCCTTTAAATTTATCGCCCTCTGTTATGTAGTAGTGAAACTACCGCATCAAAATATCTGATTTGGAGACAGGCTTTAAAAGCCTGTCTCCTTTTGAGACCTACAATTTTATGCATGTAACGAGGCTTCTGTTGCGTAGCTAGATATTCTGTGATAAAAGTATCTGCTTTTTTATACAATTATTTTAATTTAATTAAATACTAGTATATGATTTTAGGTTTGCCGGTAGCGTTAAGCAGCAGCAGCGTAGACTGTTCCTTGCCGAGCAATCAAGTAATTCTCCATCCCCATCCTACCGATTGCAGCCAGTACCTCCAATGCGTCCATGGTAGTCCTCTAGAGAGACCATGTGCTCCAGGAACAGAGTTCAGTCCCACCGTTGGTGTTTGTGTACACATCGGTACATCCGGATGTACTGCTGGTTCAGAACCTGAGCTAGAAGAAGAACCTCAGCCAGAGCCAGAGCCAGAGCCAGAGCCAGAGCCAGAGCCAGAGCCAGAGCCAGAGCCAGAGCCAGAGCCAGAGCCAGAGCCAGAACCAGAGCCGGAGATAGAGCCCGAACAGGAACAGGAACCTACACCAGAACCTACACCAGAACCTGTACCCGAATCAACGCCGGAACAGGAACTGATACCAGAACCTAAACCGGACGCTGAAGAGGAAACAGAGAAACCTGAATTTACAACTCCCGAAGAAGTCGCCGAAGAAGAAGTATCCGAGGAAGTACCAGAAAGTACGCCCTTGCCAGAGATCGAAGTTGCAACTGAAGTAAGTATAATCATAGCACCATAATATGATCTGAAAAAAAGCGGTGTCCAATTGTCCATATTTTGTACAAAAATATTTGAATTTTAAAAGTCACTTAAAGATGCTGTAATATATCCATACATTTTTTTTTGGCTAATCTATTATATTGTCTTCTATACATCCGTTTTTTTCGTCTATACTGAATGTTTATTTTGATACGTTTTGACTGAACAGGTAAAACGTTATGTGTAGACGTAGCTTTACTGATAACTTATAAATATTACAATTTCAAGGTAACTACTGAGGCAGTCGATGTAACCACTGAACCGGCTTTGAAAGAAAATGAAGACAAAGATGTTGAATTGCCAGAACCAACAACTGAAGAATTGACTACAGAAAGTACGTTTTATTATTAATCTGTATAGATTTGTTCTTTATTCACAAATCTTCAGTATTACTGCGTATATATTCACTCAAATGTTCTATAGAGAATTTATAAAAATTGGCCACGACGTCACCAAAAACGTTGCAACTCAAAACTACTGCTAAATTAGATTTCTAAAAATTATTCTTCCGTCTTAAACAAAGACAGAACGATGTCACATCAAGTAAACGAATTAGCCGATAAAAAAGACTTTATGTTGGTACTCATGGAAATTGTTGCAAATTGTCATATCTTTCTTTGCAATTTGATATTTGTTATTTTCGATTTTATTGTTTTTTTTCTAATCTGACGTTTATTTCTGTAATAATTACAGACAAAGTAATAATGTAAAATATTCGTATAGGATGAGAAATTGGCTTTGAATAAGAAGACTAAGGAAGGAGCATAATGCTATCCATGTATTCATGCATGGTGGGCGGAAAAGCCACCATAAAAGCTCTCTAGGGTGGGGATCCTTGACAGTTCTGTTTGACGATTCATTTGACACATTTGAATTTGATTTGAAATTTTGTGGATTTGTCAGTCTTTACGGAGCTTATTTTATGTTATTTATTATTTATTCTACTACTGATAGTAAAGTAGGTAGTAAATCTAGATGGAAATTGTGGCAGAACTTAAATTAACAGTGACACTATCGCAATTTATCGAAAAAGACTCTAAAATAGTTGGTTGTGTAGCGTGCGGTAGATCTCGGCAAAAATTGAGTGAAATAATGGAACAACTTTTCGCTAGTAAGTGACTATATAATATACATACGTGTAGTAAACCGATCATTTATGAAATTCACTTAAATTAACTAAATTATATATTTTTTCTTGCATTTTAGCTTTTATTTATTACTTGTCAAAGATTAGATGTCAAAAGAATTTAGATACGTTAATTTGACTCAAGAATTTGACTTACCTGCTTCAGTAGCGTATCGGATGTTTGTGTTAATAAATACTTATTATAACTTATCTATTTTTATTAGAATTATATATTTTTATAACAATTTTAATAACTACCAACATTTATTCACAACGTAAAATAAAACAACAAATTATTGAGTCTACCCCACGTCTACCCTACATCATAGTTTTACATTTTTTAAATAAAATTAGAACGACACTGATAAACCGGAATTTAAGTCGGCCATATTTGTGGCCCATCGCGGTGTACCTAAGATTTTTGATATGCTCCTTCCTTAGTCTTCTTATTCAAAGGAAATTGGTGACAAAATTTTATTTAATCTTTGTCAAAAGTCAAAGTAAAAAAATAGTCGTGGCAACATTGCGATAAATCTTTAATAACGCACACTCCAACTGTTATTGATTTTTCTATATCATTTCGTATACTTTTAGAGCCCGTAGAGCCTCCAGTTGAGGAACCTGAATCTCCTGAGCTTAAACCCGAAGTACCAGAGGAGGAAAGCGCCGAAGTGATTGAACCCGAAGTACCGGAAGAGGAAGAACCTGAAGAAATTGAACCTGAAAAACCGGAAGAAGTAGATCCCGAAGTGATTGAACCTGAGAAACCAGAAGAGGACGATTCTGAGGAAGCTGAGAAATCTGAAGAGAAAGATTCTGAGGAAGCTGAGAAACCAGAAGAGGACGATTCTCAGGAAGCTGAGAAACCTGATGAACCAGAGCCAGAAAATGATTCTGAGGAGTTGGAAGAATCAGCAGAATCTGAAGAACAGCAGGAGACAGATTTATATACTGTCTGTGCTGAACACGCAGACAGGTAAATTCTTCTTTTAATATTACTATTTTCTTGAAGAAAAATCATATTTATTTATAATAATCTTTTCAATATTTAATTTCTTTTTTAATTTATGAACAAGATGATTCAAAAGTTGTAATTTATTCAGAGAAATATTATACAGGGTAGTCCATTATTCCGAGGAAGTTCAGTATCCTTTTTGTTCTTCCCCTAGGAGATGCAAGACCTTGTCGTTGGTGGGGTCTTCTTCTACATCGGGTGTCTCAAAAAAACTAACGATAAAGATGTATTTTTTGAAATTCCAACCCTTATTTTTTGTACAGCATTGGATTCAGCATAAAATTCTGAATTTCTGATTTTTCCATATCTTCATTATCAGCAACGATATTGGACCTCCTCAAACTAATTGGTCACCCTGTATATATTAATTTGCTGAGTAAATTTACTGAACTTCAGAATAAAAATAAGTTTAAATAAGTATTAATATTGATTCAGTTTTAGTTAAAGTGTACTTATATATTACTATACTAGATACAATATGATCGAAAAAAAGACGGTGTCAGCGATGGCTATAAAATCAAAATCGCTGTCATTTTATATGTAAAACTAATTAATAATTTGTAACGATGATGATAAAGCAAAGCAAGAATTTCCATTAACATACAAACTGGATAAAATTTTCTCACATTTATGTCAGCATGAGAAAAAAACAATATGGCGATATTATTATATAACTTGGTAATTATTGAGGGGTAGTTTTATCTCGTTGGAATTTGACTTTCAAAAAATTCGTTTACCAAAAATAAGCTTTTTACGTCAAGCAGTTTAAGCAGAATCGTGGTTAATCAATTACCCAACTTTTTGGAACACCCTGTATGATTTTTTTAAAAAAATTCAAAATATGTAAAAAAAAACAAAATAAATTATGCGTGTCCAAGCGTTTTCCCGAAAGACTAACCGTTTTTTAAATAACAAATATTGATATTTGAGGGGCGTTTTCATCTTCTTGGAATTTGAGGAATTGACACCCCACAGTCAATCCGTTTGCCAAAAATCAGCTTTAAACGTCAAGCAGTTTAAGGAGAATCGTGATTACTCAATGGTCATATTTTATAAAACTCCCTGTATACATTTTTAAAAAATCTTAAAATTTGTAAAAAAACAAAATAAAATATACGTGTTTAAGCATTTTTTCAGAAACTTGGCCGTTTTTTAAATAAAAAATTTTGTAATATTTGAGGGGTGGTTTCGCCCCCTTGGAACTGGAATTTCAAAAAATCCCTTCGTATAGAACCTCTACACCCTAGAATCAACCTGTATGCCAAAATTGAGCTTCTTACATTGAGTGGTATGAACAGGATCGTGATTAATCAGTATATATTAGTATAAATTACGTGGGGAATATCATCGATGATAATTTTTAAGCCAAATAGACGCCGTTTTTTTTTGGTTCGAACGGTATAAGTTACAATAATGTTCTTTTTTTCAGATTCTATGTAACTGCCAACCCTAACAGCTGCACTAGTTTCGTGATTTGTAACTTTGGCGAGCCCATTATCAGGGATTGTCCCGAGGGTCAGATATATAATTCGGTCATCAACAGCTGTTCTACCAGTGGTACCTGTTCAGTTTAAGCAGTAAACGGAAAATGCGTATACACTCACTATAAAATATTTGGCTAAATATTTATTTTGATATTTGTGCCAAATTGTATATATGTATATGAATAAATATTATGAAGAAGTGATGTTTCTTTTTCGTCAATATTTTTTTCGATCTATAAGGCCTATTGTGTTTGTTCGTAACCACCGTAATAACAAGGCCGGACAGCTGTGACGTAAAAATCTCGTGACGTCACCAACTGGAGGCCCAACTCTATTTAGCAGCGTTGTTAATTACCCGATAAAAGTTCAAATTGTGGATCTTTTTTCACTCACCAGATATATTTCGAAGTTTTAAAATGCCTTTTTCCGAGTTTTTAAAAATATTATAGTATATAAAAATAATTTTAATAGAATACGGAAAAAATCATACCAGTCAATAAATGTTTATCTCTCACTTTTTATTAATCAAATTTAATAAAGGAATATTTTCAGTTCACAATAATGTATAATATGAGAAAAAAAACATTAAAAAAATAGATATTTTTTATAGTATATATTATGTATTTTATCGATATTTCACGCCCCCTGTCGTAGCGCGTAGCGGAGTGATATTGCCGCAGTTGACAGTAGTGATGAGTGAAATATCGGTAACTGTGACTTTGTCACTGATATTCTATAATCACAGTCACGGCCTGTGACTGATTTGAAAATAAACGGTGACTTGCTAAAGCGTGACGATTACAGTTAATTATAATTTCTCTGGTAACGAGAAAATACTTCACATAGCGGGACGTCGCGTGTCGCGAACGCAGCTGCCGATGGCGCCGGTCGTGACTCAGTTCACAGTCACGAGTCACGACGTACGTCTCAAGCCCCGTTCTCAGAACTGCGTCGTGTCGACAGCGACACTGATTGACACTTCAAACGACCAATGGGAGCTATACTAAATTTAAAATTGACAGCTGTTTGAATTTTGTACAAATCTGATTGGTTCTTTTGTCGTGTCGCTGGCGACAGTCGCAGTTCTGAGAACGGGGCTTCAAGCCCCGTTCTCAGAACAGCGACTGTCGCCAGCGACACGTCAAGAGGACCAATGAGATTTGTACAAAATTCAAACAGCTGTCAATTTTAAATTTAGTACAGCTCCCATTGGTTGTTTGAAATGTCAAACTGTGTCGCCAGCGACACGACGTCGTTCTGAGAACGGGGCTTCATAGGATAGATATCTGACAAAGTGATCTAAAGACAGTGACTGTTAGAAGTGATTTAATTTTTTATGTATTTTATATTTTATTACTATTTTCTATCACTACGAATCGGTTTAGTTCCTTTTTAGTTTAGCAGGTTTTTTTAAAGTCAAACATAAAGTTTTACCTTTATACAGTTTATTTTTTTTAGAAACTTAATTTTTTGCATATTTCGTTTATTTTAATAGAAAAGAAAATATTTGTTGTTTAATGTATTACTTATCTCGTGTTGTTAAGTTTCGTTCGTTATGGTTATGAGCATATTGCATATTTTATTCTTTTCCCGTTGGTTTCTTTTAATAAAAAAATTGTTTTATTTTTATTTTTTAATATACCTTTTACCCACTGTTTAGTGTTTTCTATTTCAGCGGCCTTGGATAAAGGACAAATAAAAATTAGTATAACAACAACAACAGAATCGTATCATTCGTATTGTATCTTATATTTTAGCCGTGATTGTGCTTTCGGATTCATAATCATAAAGTCGCAGTCACAGTTAAGAGTCACAGATAATACAAAGTCGCTGTCACAGGTAAGCCTGTGAACAGAAAATCACGGTTTGGCTCATCACTAGTTGACAGCAGGGTTCGGAAAACTACATGATACTTTTAAAAACTACATAAACTACATTACATGTAGTTAATGTAGTTTATGTAGAGGGTGTAGTTTATGTAACCTATGTATGTAACTTTCAAATGTCAAAGGTTTGAGGTGAGGTTATAATAAGTTGAAGCTTTAAAAACACATAATGTATTTAAGAAAACAGAAGAAATATGGCTTTAAACATAATATTTACATCATATTATCTCTATTACACCTCATACAAAAGAAAATTATTCATAATATCAATACATAGTTTATTAACGTAGTTTTCATGTAGTTAATGAACGGGAAAAGACGTAGTTTTTTAAGAAAAACTACACGTAGTTAATCAGGTAAATTACGTCTTAGTTAACTAGTTCCGAACCCTGGTTGACAGTCATCGATTTATCGGTAGGTGTGCGGACGTGGTAACTATAATCGATAATAGAAGGGTGAAAATAGTTATATATCTGTAAAAAGAGGTGTTTAAACTATAAAGTAATTATAAGTGCAATTATACAATTTAAAAGGTATAATGCCTTATAATGTCTAAATAATAAGATGTGAATATTATATTTAAAGCTATATTTCTTCTGTTTTCTCAAATATATTTATATGTATTTTCTAAAACTTTTACTTATCTTTTACCTCACCTCAAACCTTTCATATTTGAAAGTTACATAAACTACACCCTCTACATCGATTAACTACATGTAATGTAGTTTATGTAGTTTTTAAGAGTAACATGTAGTTTTCCGAACCCTGATAGTAATACTGATCAAATTATTAGTCATGCTTGTTATTTACTAAATTCTTTAAAATGAGATGAAAATAATAAAAAATTTCTAACTTTTATCTGTGTTCAATATTAAAATTATTAACTTGAGTTGAGTAACAGGTTGAGCATGAAGTAATAACATATTGTTTTAATGAGTAAAATATGAGGTATGTTTTACTAGAGAACTTGCAAACTGATCCTCCTGAAAGTAGGTTTGGAAAATATAGGCAGTTAGCCGGGAGTCAGTATAGTATTTGTGTGCGACATTTATATGAAGGTGAAAAGAAACTTAAGATTCAGTCATTAATGTCCCTAAAAATAATTTAACATTTTTAGACAACACTGATATTGAACAAAATTCACTTATAAAAAACCTTACTAAAGGCAGTCTTGGGCTTCCAAAAGATGAAATAACTAAACCAGTTTTATTTGAATATATAATTTTTAACAAAGTTTTAATAATTTATTTAAAAGACTGCTTTACATTTCATTTAAGTTCAACATATGATGTTTATATACCTAATATTACAATTATAAGTTTAAAAATGACCGAGATTAGGAAATATCTTCAAAAAAGACCTTTAAATTATTTTTTTCTCAAAACTACGTTTGTGACTTAATATAGTTTGCTTTGGGGGTACAGATATATTGTTTGATTGTTGAAAAATATGTTACAATTTATATAAAATATTTTATTAATAGCAGTGTCCAATAAATCAATCAGTTCGAAAATTATATCTAATCATGAAATGATTCAAATTCTTATAATTTGTGTATTATTAATGATTTATGAATAAAGTCTTATCACAATAACCTTGCCATCTTAAGAATTTTTTGGTAATTATTATTGAATTTGACCAAATTAATGGCTAATGTTCATACAAAGAGCTATTGACCTGATTTTTTTTATTTAGTTTTTTGAAAAATTTATTGTACTAATATTGCAATTACGATATTTAAATATAAATAAATAAATTTTTAGTGTAGACAAATTAGTTGGAATTTGTCTCAGACCTAAATAGCTGAATAACTATTAAAATATAAGAAAGATTTACTCAACAGAAAATTAAATTTTGTAATAATTAGGTTTTAAGGCACACCGCCATCTTTCGCAATTGACAGTTCATGTCACATGTCAGTCACGAATATTAATGTATCACAATGTATCACTCACTTATAATCTGTAAACTTTGCTGTAAACTGAAAGTGTAAAGCAATTATATTAAATTAAAAATAAAGAAAAGTATGAAGTTAAGAGTCCATTTGACTAGCCCGAAAAAGTAGCAAAATAAGCTTTCGGCATTTTTTAACGTTTTATGTGAAACTGGCTAGGTATTTTTACACAAATGAAGAAGAAAATTAAAGATAAAGGATTATACTATACACGTATTGTAGCACATTTTAGAAAAGTTTTTTATTTTTAAGATTTCGATGGTCAAACATCAACAAAATATTCCTTATGTTTGAACTAAATTTTCGCGAAAATAACGACATAAATTAAAATTCCGTTACAATACGTTACAATATAATTTATATGCTTTTGTAACAAATTGCTCGCTATTTTATGACAAATTCTGAAGCTCCGCAAATTTTAATCAAGCCTTAAACAAAGCAAGTGTGTTTGGAATTTCGGATGTGGTCTAACACAGCAGGATCGGGCTAAGCTGAGGCAGATTTCTGAGATATAATATATATTTCCTTCGGCCACACACCCGCTTTGCCCGACCCCTGAGAGCAACCCGAACAGTACAGCGCCAGCGTAATAGACTGTTAAAAGTGACATTAAAATATTAATAATGTTACTTAAAGAACGTGAGTCTGAGCGTGGGGTAGGTAGATAAAGATCTTGCTCCACGTTCCTGAATGGATAAGTGTGAGACGGCCTTTCTTGAGAAGCTGATACATGCTTACGTATTAGGCAAACGGATTCAAATATAAATAAGGAAGGAAGAGTTAATATATTTTTTTTTTAAAGAAGTCCTGGCAGTGAGTTCTGCCGATATTCACTGGGATTAAACACCTAGTGAATATCGAACAGCTCTCTTCTGGAGCTTGAAAATGCGGTCAAATTGAGTCGCACAACACGTACCCCAGAATGGAAGGGCATATCTGAGGTGCGACTCAAAAAGTGCATAATAAACAGTTCTAGCCACTGACAAGTTAAGCTCCTTAGAAACAGATCTTAATGGAAAACAGGCAGAGCTTAATTTTTTCGACAATGATATACGACAATTTTTTAATTTTTTTGACAATCGAATATAAACGAACATGTCTTTCTAGACCATGTGCCGTCACTTATCTAAGCACTCGGTGACAAGAGTCGAACGCTTACTACTTCATATTGATGTCACATGACAAAAGTTTAGTAGTCAGTATAATATATGGTAGTTTCAAACAATTTAAACCTTAAAAAGAGACAATATGGACTTATGGGTTTTCAGTAATTTTATTTGAATATCTCCATCTTTTCCCTAAATTTTGACTCTAAATTGACCCTAATTTAAAAAATTCCTAGTTGTTTCAAAAAACAAAATCTAATATTAAAATTTTACAAGATATGACTCATTATGATATTTAAAAAAGAATCAATTATGTCGTTAACCCCACTGACTAAACATTATCATTAGCAACCTATATAAACTAAATCGTTTTTCAAAATATATTAATTTGTTAAAAAACGGGTTATAAGAAGTGTTTTGATTTCGTGATCCATATTTTTTAATATGTTTAATATAAGAAGATTTTGTTCTGTCTTCTGGTGTTTTCTAATTTTTAACTTATTTGGAAGGCAGTTGGGAGTTAGTACCCTCACAAGTAAGTACCTATATTGTTATTACCCTATATTGTAAATTATCCGCATGATCGAAAAAAAACGACATCAAGTTACTTTAGAAATCACAATCAATATCAATTGGTGCAAAGTAATATCAAAGAGCACAGTTGTGCATTAATGTGCCTGATAATATACCGTTTTTTAAATAAAACCGCTAAAAATTCTTAAATACCTTAAATACAAAATATGTTCATTTTTTAATTCTCTATCTAACAAAGAAATAATAACAAGATGTTCCATTTAAAAAAAAACGAAGAAAAACTATTTAATATTTTATAAAGTTTGCCATAGAATTTTGAACAGCCTGTATGGTTTAAGATTACGATATTTATAGCAAAGTAAGTACATATCAACTATAAATACCTAGTACAGTTTTGATTTCAGGACATTTCTTGTATATTTAATATTTTTTTTAAAAAGGCTGAAAAAAAGTGTTTTTATTTATTTATTAATATTTCTGACACTATAAAAAAAATAATTAATAATATCTTAAGATTATGTAAAGTGTTCAGAAAGGAAGCCAAAAATGATATAATATACAAGATGTCATACACTTCACTTTTCTAGGGGCTCACTTTTTTGAGCCATCCTGTATAGTTAAGGCATCCTAAGCAGGGCCTATTTTTCATCTGGTCGGGCCCTAAGGCCCAAGCAAAAATTCGAGCCCTCTTTTCCAATTAAATTTCAAAAATTCTCTTGTTAGTTTGGGTTAAAAAAAAAATAAAACAATTATTTTTATTTTTATTTTTTTAATAATATAAAAAAATAAATAAACATTATTATATTCAAGAAAATAAATAATGAAAAAAAAATTATATCAATCTGAAGCTTATTTTATTTAATTCTATTTTCCTTATCAGAGGTAACTGTTTTTTTTTTCTCTGCTATGTAAATTTACATTTGAAATTATGAACATTTTACAACCCTTTAACGGGCCCCCCAGATCACCGGGCCCAAGGCCCGGGCCTTATGGGCCTTATGGTAAAATAGGCCCTGATCCTAAAAGTTGGGATATTTTCCTGAAATACATCCTAAAAAATACTTTAGGCAAAGTGTACAAAATTCTATAGGTCCATACTTAAACAAAATTCCTGTATTTTTTATTATAGGACTTACAGATGCCTGATGTACTTTTGTCGGATCCTGTATATGAAAACGAAACCAAAGAATTAGTTATGAAAAACTCATTCGTTTATATGCATTTCTTGCAGGTGAATGCGTCAAAAACGGATTGTATGCTCATCCGACGGAATGCGACCAATTCTATTCATGCTCGCCTTTAGGGCCAGTTTTGATGACCTGCCCACATGGCTTCAACTTCAACGAGGAATACTCCATTTGTGACTGGCCGCATAATTCTAATTGTTACGACAAAAACAATCAACAAAAAGGTAATTTATTGAAAATACTCCCCATATGTATATCTATGTATAAAGAAAACCTAGGAACTAATGGGGTTGCAGTCGGAAGGGTTTGAAATAAAATTAATACAGTTTGTTAATTGTCAAGCTTTCGGAATATATTCATTCCTTCCTCAGGACATCAACGTGGTATAAGAGACCTTCATGAAAAAACGTTATCTCTTGTACCTCTTGTACCACGTTGATGTCCTGAGGAAGGAATGATAATAATAGTAATGAATAATAAATGGTGATGTAATGAATAATAAATGAATAGTAATTGGTGAATAATAAATAAATTCCGAAAGCTTGACAATTAACAAAGTGTATTAATTCTATTTCAAACCTTTCCGACTGCAACCCCACTAGTTCCTAGATTTTCTTTCTCACTAATCAGTCGATACTACTGTCTGCTCTATGTATAAATCTATATCTAACCTAACCTAAACAAAATATACAGGGTTGTTCACCACATACGACACGAAGTATTGTAGCTAAACGACTAGATTTTTAACAATTGTAAATTTTGGATTCGTTGAAGGACTATTAGAGCTACAATTTAAAAATATTTTTACAAAACACAGAGTGTCCCAAATAAATAAAAAATATCAAAGTTGTATTTTTTTAAATGGAACACCCTATATATTATTACATTTTTAGTTTCTACACTTAAAATAAAGGTAAATTTGATTAAGGTTTATTACACTTAAACCTTACCGTTTTTGAAATATTTTCAATTTTGTGAAATTGCAGTATAAATTTTAAGGCTTCATTTCTCCGAGGGTATCAAAGTTTTTATTACTAAATATTTACTGAAGTTTATTTATTGATCAATAACTGACCAATAAATAAACTACAGTAATGCAATAATAAAAACTTTACTACCTTATACAGAGTGTCTAAAAATTAATTTTAAATAATTACTAGCTTTAAACGGCAATAATTTGTTTAATTTAAATGGAACACCCCGTATATATTTTATAGGAATCAGATGCACAATTTAATTGTCTATCAAATTGTATTATACGATTTTTTACCTATCTCTTCAAGTTTCCGTAGAAAATGCATTTTCTTGTAATTTAGAACCCATTTATCAATATACCCATGGAATACTGACATTTTAGATTATTTTTAAAGATGTACCAAATTTTTAAAGAGTACAGATACTAATCTTGTCGATATAGTTCGTTTATTTCATTAAAAAAAAACTGTTTAAATATTTGTTAAAAAGGACCAATTAATATGATTCCAGTATTCAAACTACATTAATTGACTGTTTGCGTTGATTAATAATAATTGCTCCAAATACTATATTATGTTTGTGTATTAGACAGTGTGGTAAAAAGTAACACCTTAAAAATGATATTTAATTTTTCGACAAATGCCCATTTATAACAACAGTTCATTTTCATAACTTATTATTATATTGATTTCTGATTCAAATCCACATTTATTTAGAATAATTTATTAACGAACACAATTAAGTATGTAGTTAATTAGTATTTGGGCGGAAATACTGGGGGTATAATATTTAATTAATGGTATACTCTTTTATAAAGATTTAAATAGTTTTTTTTGCATACAAATGGGCTAGTAATATTATCGTTTTACTAAAAACGATAATATTACTAGCCTGTACGTTTTGTACATTTGTTGTTTTAAAAACAATCTAAAATGTCAATATTCCATGGGTATATTGATAAATGAGGTCTAAATTATACGAAAATGCATTTTCTACGAAAACTTGAAGTAATAGGTAAGAAGTGGTATAATACAATTTGATAGACAATTAAATTGTGCATCTGATTCTCATAAAATATACAGGGTGTTCTATTTAATGTAAATAAGTTATTGCCGTTTAAAGCTAGTAATTATTTAAAATAAAATTTTAGACACTCTGTATAAGGTAGTATAATTTTTATTATTGCAACACAATAACTGATCGATAAATAAACTTCAGTAAATATTTAGTATTAAAAACTTTGATATCCTCGGAGAAATGAAGCCTTAAAATTTATACTGCAATTTCGCAAAATTGAAAATATTTCAAAAACGGTAAGGTTTAAGTGTAATAAACCTCAATCGAATTTACCTTTATTTTAATCGTAGAGACTAAAAATGCAATAATATACAGGGTGTTCCATTTAAAAAAATACAACTTTGATATTTTTTATTTATTTGGGATACTCTGTATCTTGTAAAAATATTTTTAAATTGTACATTTGTTAAAATCTAATCGTTTAGCTACAATACTCCGTGTCGTATGTGGTGAACAACCCTGTATAAAACTATACAAAAGTCGTGTGAGTACGACCAGTTATAACTGAAAAATGTAATGTCAGACTCGCTCGCCAAACGTGCAGCCTCGCCACCAAAAGTATCATTTTTACTCCTAATAAAACAATATACTATTATTTCCATAGATTATTTCTTACTGAGTTAAAATAAACTTATAATCGTCTTGGTTACGCTTACCATAAATAATCATAACTCCCTTAGAATATTATTAACAGGAATTAAAATACCATAGTTCCCTCTACCTTTTATAGGTACAACCATACAATACAATAGAGATTTTTAAATCAAATAAAAAATGCACTTATTTTTCCACTCAAATATTTGACATTTATTAAAATGAATCATTTTATTAATGGAAATAACAGTCTGGCATATCTGCCTGCCTGAACTATATAACTATACATATGCCTCCTGAACTAATACAAATATACCGGAAGATTAATCTTAAGATCATTTTAAAATGGGTCAAAATATACTAAAATCAGTAAGAAATAAAATTATCTATGTATCAGGGGAATTTTAAAGTGTCAATAACCTCGGGCAATTATTTTCCCTCTGTAATTAACACTTTTATAATTCCCTCGATAATTTTACTAGGAATATAAATATTTTTTCTTCCTTTTTAGGATACGTACCAGACTTCTGTTCCAATTTTATTTACGCCCATCCTCAAGACTGTTCAAAATTCTACCTCTGCTCACCTTTTGGCCCTGTCCAAATGAACTGTCCAGCCCCACTACACTTCAATCCAGTCTTACTTGTCTGCGACTGGCCGCATAATGCACAATGCGCATCTTATCAAAAAGATAATTTAAACATTCAAACCTCCTCATCGACCCCTTATTATATCGAACAATTCAATTCTACACTATCAGACTCTACAACTTTATCAACATTTACAACAAACGATGAAACAGAAAGTACAGAAGTCCAAAGTACTACTGATTTAACATCAACAACAGAAGGCGTTTTAGAATCTACAACAAATACTGTTTTTACAACTACTGAAGAGATAACATTCTCTACAATCGATTCTACTACCGGTACTTCCATAACGGTTCCAACAGAAGAGTTAACAACATCATTAGATCAATCAACAACAACTTATTCAACTACCCTCAACGATTTAAGTACAACAACTGATATTTCTACGACTTTCGCAGACACAGAAATCGATAAAATTGATGTATATCAGAAAAACAACGACCAGCTTCTTTTTGAGGGCTCAGAAATATGCCCGAAATCAATATGGCCTCATCCAAACGACTGTACCAGATTCTACATGTGCGGTTCGACCGGTCCTGAGCTATTTGCCTGCCCAGACGACCTGGTTTTTAATCCAGTTCTCCTTGTATGCGACTGGAACTATAAATCTGAGTGTTTGGTTAATATCAACGGAAGAATTCTAGAAGAATCATCTACTACTGTTATATTTGAAGAAAACAATGATATGACAGAAGTTACTACAAATTCTAATCAATGTCAAGGTACTATATGGGCACATCCGGATTGTACTAAATATTATATGTGCGGAACTACAGGTCCTGAATTATATTCTTGTCCAGAAGGACTTTATTATAACAGTGATTTTCATGTATGCGACTATGATTCAAGCTGCAAAGGAAGCTTAAGTTTAGATACATTAACAACTACTGAATTAAATGACTTAACTGATTCCAGTTTTCAAAGTACACAAAATTATAACGATGGAAATACCGAGACCATGGTAAATTTAAAGGTATGTCAAGGAACGATTTGGGCACATTCAGATAGCACTAAATATTATATATGCGGACCAACAGGACCAGTAGAGTACACATGTCCTGAAGGACTTTGTTATAATAAAGAATCTCACTTTTGTGATGATAATCTAAGTTACTGTACCCAAAAAATTAATCTAGACACATTATTACCAACCACTGAACTCATTTTAAGAAATGTAAACAGCGCAACTTTGCCAGGCATCTATGAAGGTAGCGGAGATTTCAACTTAGGTGAAGATTTAGAATCATCAACTGATCTAAGTATTTCTGAAGATGCGACATTTGAATCATCTTTAAACGAAGAAAATTTACATCCTTTATGTCTGGGTACTATGTGGCCTCATCCAATTGAAGATAACAAATTTTATAAATGCGGCACACTTGGACCTAAATTGTTTGAATGTCCTGATACTCTTTATTTCAATCCAGCTTTGATGGTATGTGATTGGAACAAACTCATCGAACAACCACCGAACTTAACAGCAATAAGAACATCGATAAGTGTGTCAAATAATTTTGGTAACGGATCATCAGAAGATTTAAATGAAACAAGAAGTTTTGTTATAAACGAAAACGGTGAATTTAGTGTAATTAATGAAAATAACAATAGATTATGTGAAAAGGAGATATGGCCTCATCCAAACAATTGTTCTTGGTTTTATAAATGCGGTTCCAATGGTGCTGAATTACTTCGATGTCTTGAAGGGCTTTACTTTAACCCAACTTTGCTTGTTTGTGTCTGGAATAAACCTGCCGAGTGTGCAATCACTTCAACAATTTCAACAGAAACTGAAGAATCCTCTACAGATACTTTAATTAATGATACGAATGATACTGTTACAGAAATCGTTGGACTGTATGATTATAATAATACTCTATGTGAAGGTAGAATATGGCCCCATCCAAATCAATGTTCAAGATACTACAGATGTGGTCCTTCTGGTCCTCAATTATTCGAGTGTCACAATGGTTACTATTTTAATTTTACCTTGCTTGCTTGTGACTGTAACCAGCCAGTTGAATGCAGATCTGAACTAATTGAGATAAATTTATCAGGACAGCAATACGAGCAATCAACTATATTTTCTAATAACGAAAATGGTGTTACAACTGAAGTTATAGAGGGTTTGTGCAGGGGTAGTATATGGTCTCATCCTAATGATTGTACAAAGTTTTATAAATGTGGTTCCCTAAGTCCCACATTGTTTCAGTGTCCAGATGGACTGTATTTTAACCCAGATTTACTAGTCTGCGACTGGATGAAATCTTCTGAATGTCAAACAGACTTAAACGATTACAACTCTGAAGCAACAACAGATATTCTCCCTGTTACTGAAACTACTGAATATAACACAAAACAAATTGATTCAATCTCTACAAATTTAGATGAAATAAGCACTTTTACTGATGTTACAGATACAACAACAAGTTTACCAGGTTTAATTGAAAATATAACAGAGTTATGTCCAAGTACAATGTGGCCACATCCAAACGATTGTACCAAATTTTATACTTGTGGTGCTACTGGACCAACTGAATTTGATTGCCCTGGTAACTTGCATTTTAGTCCGAAATTGCTCGTGTGTACATGGCCTTATCTCGCCGATTGTCAGTCTGTATCAGACTTAAACTTAGGCACAACAGAAAACACAATCGGATCTGGAGAAACTGTTCTTTCTGAGTCATCTAGAGATTCTGAAGAAGATACCAGTATTTTATATGGAAAACTTCATCTATCAGATGTAGAAGAATCAAGTCAATTTGGAGTAACTACACATACTAGTTTAGGTGTTATATTACCACACCCTAGTGACTGTACCAAGTTTTATTTGTGTGACTCTCAAGGACCTGTAGAGTTTTCTTGTCCAGGAGGACTATATTTTGATTCAAATACTTTGGTTTGTATTGGCTTGACACCTTTAGTGTGCCACAGTAACTTGAATAAGACTAATGAGCCTGTTGTCACAACAACTGGTAGTGTTGAGTCGGTTGAGGTCACTAGTTCTTCTATAGACAAACAGAACGTCAATTCTTGTCGAGGGGATACATGGCCACATTCAACAGATTGTACTAAATTCTACGTTTGTGGTTCCAATGGACCAATAGAAGTATCTTGTCCCAATCAGTTTCATTTTGATCCAGAAATATTAGTATGCGATTGGCCTCAAAGAGCTGGTTGTAGGGTTAAAAAAAATGGATTTTTTTTTGAAAGGATGAAAGGGTTATGAATAACAGTACTTTGTGAAGACGTATGCTCTGTATATTACTTATTTTTATTTAATTTTAATGTATAAGAAGACAAACAAGAGTTTAAAAGCTTAGTAGTATATTTTTACAGAATTCACTTATTAATTTGTATAATTAAGAGAATATCTTAAAAAGAAAAAAGAGATAGGAGATAGTGTTTTATTAGTATTTGCTGTAAATATAATACTGTATGTTTTAGTGTGTAATATTGTTTTTCTTTTTAAGATTTTACAGAATGGTAAATCCTAGTGATAACCAGCCACAAGCTTGAAAGAATTTTGGAAAATTCTCTCAAGCTTTATATATCACTGGATTTGATAGAATTACACAAATAAATAGTGATTTTTTTTATGCTATCTGAAGTTTTACAGATTTCAGAGAGTTTTACGGATAGTTATAAGAATTCTACAGACTGATTCTCATTTTTTTTTGAATAGTTTAATCGAAGTCACATACACTGTAACCATGAATTTAAATTAATATAAATATAAAATAATTGTTTTTAATAAAATGTAAATCATAATAATTTATTTTAATCTACCTTAATACACTTTTTTAAAAGACAATTTAATGACATAGTGATTACATACTGAATGTGAAACAAATGACTGAGAAATACTGATGTAAAATGTAACACTATATAATATATAACCTGAGTTTTTAAGAAACATAAAAAAATTATAGAGGTTTATACTAAATCGTGCTCTTGTCTCATGAGTTGATAAATGAGTTCTTCTAAGTAATCTCGGTCATAATTCGCCAGTTTGGGATGTAGTTTCTGGAAAAATATGCTAGATGGAGGAGCTGATCTTTTGCCATACCTGAAACCAGCAAAAAAATTGTGTTAAATAATTGAAAAGTTAAATGGTAAAAACATAAATCAAACCACATTGTTCATGATTTTTTTAAAAAACAATTTTTAAAAAAAAAAAACTAATGGTAAACTGTGGATGGACATGCCATCCAGTTCAAGAGGCCCAGTCCAGGACGGTTTTCTCATTATAATTCGGTTTTAATATATTCTTTTGATGATAATAATGATATTTAGTAATGAATTTATACCCTCCAGTCCTAGAATCACACTTCTTCAGCTAATGGTAAACTGCGGATGGACATATGCCATCCAGTTCAAGAGGCCCAGTCCAGGACAGTTTCCTCGTTATAATTCGGTTTTAATATATTCTTTTGATGACAATAATGTTATTTAATAATAAATTTATACCCTCCAATTCGAGAACCACACTTGTTCAGCTAATGGTAAACTGCTGATGGACATATGCCATCCAGGTCAAAAGGACCCAGTCCAGGAGACTTTTCTCGTTATAATTCGGTTTTAATATATTCTTTTGATGACAATAATGTTATTTAATAATAAATTTATACCCTCCAATTCGAGAACCACACTTCTTCAGCTAATGGTAAACTGCGGATGGACATATGCCATCCAGTTCAAGAGGCCCAGTCCAGGACAGTTTCCTCGTTATAATTCGGTTTTAATATATTCTTTTGATGACAATAATGTTATTTAATAATAAATTTATACCCTCCAATTCGAGAACCACACTTCTTCAGCTAATGGTAAACTGCGGATGGACATATGCCATCTAGTTCAAGAGGCCCAGTCCAGGACAGTTTCTCATTATAATTCGGTTTTTAATATATTCTTTTGATGATAATAATGATATTTAGTAATGAATTTATACCCTCCAATCCGAGAATCACACTTCTTCAGCTAATGGTAAACTGCGGATGGACATATGCCATCCAGTTCAAGAGGCCCAGTCCAGACAAGTTTCTCGTTATAATTCTGGTTTGGTTATATTCTTTTGATGACAATAATGTTATTTAGTTAATAAATTTATACCCTCAATTCGAGAACCACACTTCTTCAGCTAATGGTAAACTGCGGATGGACATATGCCATCTAGTTCAAGAGGCCCAGTCCAGGACAGTTTCTCGTTATAATTCGGTTTTAATATATTCTTTTCATGACAATAATGTTATTTAATAATAAATTTATACCTCCAATTCGAGAACCACACTTCTTCAGCTAATGGTAAACTGCGGATGGACATATGCCATCCAGTTCAAGAGGCCCAGTCCAGGACAGTTTCCTCGTTATAATTCGGTTTTAATATATTCTTTTGATGACAATAATGTTATTTAATAATAAATTTATACCCTCCAATTCGAGAATCACACTTCTTCAGCTAATGGTAAACTGCGGATGGACATATGCCATCCAGTTCAAGGGGCCCAGTCCAGGACAGTTTTCTCGTTATAATTCGGTTTTAATATATTCTTTTCATGACAATAATGTTATTTAATAATAAATTTATACCCTCCAATTCTGAGAACCACACTTCTTCAGCTAATGGTAAACTGCGGATGGATATATGCCATCCAGTTCAAGAGGCCCAGTCCAGGACAGTTTCCTCGTTATAATTCGGTTTTAATATATTTTTTTGATGACAATAATGTTATTTAATAATAAATTTATACCCTCCAATTCGAGAACCACACTTCTTCAGCTAATGGTAAACTGCGGATGGACATATGCCATCCAGTTCAAGAGGCCCAGTCCAGGACAGTTTCCTCGTTATAATTCGGTTTTAATATATTTTTTTGATGACAATAATGTTATTTAATAATAAATTTATACCCTCCAATTCGAGAACCACACTTCTTCAGCTAATGGTAAACTGCGGATGGACATATGCCATCCAGTTCAAGAGGCCCAGTCCAGGACAGTTTCCTCATTATAATTCGGTTTTAATATATTCTTTTCATGACAATAATGTTATTTAATAATAAATTTATACCCTCCAATTCGAGAACCACACTTCTTCAGCTAATGGTAAACTGCGGATGGACATATGCCATCCAGTTCAAAAGGCCCAGTCCAGGACAGTTTCCTCATTATAATTCGGTTTTAATATATTCTTTTCATGACAATAATGTTATTTAATAATAAATTTATACCCTCCAATTCGAGAACCACACTTCTTCAGCTAATGGTAAACTGCGGATGGACATATGCCATCCAGTTCAAGAGGCCCAGTCCAGGACAGTTTCCTCGTTATAATTCGGTTTTAATATATTTTTTTGATGACAATAATGTTTTTAATAATAAATTTATACCCTCCATTCGAGAACCACACTTCTTCAGCTAATGGTAAACTGCGGATGGACATATGCCATCCAGTTCAAGAGGCCCAGTCCAGGACAGTTTTCTCGTTATAATTCGGTTTTAATATATTCTTTTCATAACAATAATGTTATTTAATAATAAATTTATACCCTCCAATTCGAGAACCACACTTCTTCAGCTAATGGTAAACTGCGGATGGACATATGCCATCCAGTTCAAGAGGCCCAGTCCAGGACAGTTTCCTCGTTATAATTCGGTTTTTAATATATTCTTTTGATGACAATAATGTTATTTAATAATAAATTTATACCCTCCAATTCGAGAACCACACTTCTTCAGCTAATGGTAAACTGCGGATGGACATATGCCATCCAGTTCAAGAGGCCCAGTCCAGGACAGTTTTCTCGTTATAATTCGGTTTTAATATATTCTTTTCATGACAATAATGTTATTTAATAATAAATTTATACCTCCAATTCGAGAACCACACTTCTTCAGCTAATGGTAAACTGCGGATGGACATATGCCATCCAGTTCAAAGAGGCCCAGTCCAGGACAGTTTCCTCGTTATAATTCGGTTTTAATATATTCTTTTGATGACAATAATGTTATTTAATAATAAATTTATACCCTCCAATCCGAGAACCACACTTCTTCAGCTAATGGTAAACTGCGGATGGACATATGCCATCCAGTTCAAGAGGCCCAGTCCAGGACAGTTTCCTCGTTATAATTCGGTTTTAATATATTTTTTGATGACAATAATGTTATTTAATAATAAATTTATACTTCCAATTCGAGAACCACACTTCTTCAGCTAATGGTAAACTGCGGATGGACATATGCCATCCAGTTCAAAAGAGGCCCAGTCCAGGACAGTTTTCTCGTTATAATTCGGTTTTAATATATTCTTTTGATGACAATAATGTTATTTAATAATAAATTTATACCCTCCAATTCGAGAACCACACTTCTTCAGCTAATGGTAAACTGCGGATGGACATATGCCATCCAGTTCAAGAGGCCCAGTCCAGGACAGTTTTCTCGTTATAATTCGGTTTTAATATATTCTTTTGATGATAATAATGTTATTTAATAATGAATTTATACTCTCCAATCCGAGAATCACACTTCTTCAGCTAATGGTAAACTGCGGATGGACATATGCCATCCAGTTCAAGAGGACCCAGTCCAGGACACTTTTCTCGTTATAATTCGGTTTTAATATATTCTTTTGATGACAATAATGTTATTTAATAATAAATTTATACCCTCCAATTCGAGAATCACACTTCTTCAGCTAATGGTAAACTGCGGATGGACATATGCCATCTAGTTCAAGAGGCCCAGTCCAGGACAGTTTTCTCGTTATAATTCGGTTTTAATATATTCTTTTCATAACAATAATGTTATTTAATAATAAATTTATACCCTCCAATTCGAGAATCACACTTCTTCAGCTAATGGTAAACTGCGGATGGACATATGCCATCCAGTTCAAAAGGACCCAGTCCAGGAAAGTTTTCTCGTTATAATTCGGTTTTAATATATTCTTTTGATGATAATAATGTTATTTAATAATGAATTTATACTCTCCAATCCGAGAACCACACTTCTTCAGCTAATGGTAAACTGCGGATGGACATATGCCATCCAGTTCAAAAGGCCCAGTCCAGGACAGTTTTCTCGTTATAATTCGGTTTTAATATATTCTTTTCATGACAATAATGTTATTTAATAATAAATTTATACCCTCCAATTCGAGAATCACACTTCTTCAGCTAATGGTAAACTGCGGATGGACATATGCCATCCAGTTCAAGAGGCCCA